CAATTTTTGAATTAGTTTCTAGAAGTCTGACTGCATCACTGAAATAATCAACTATGAGCTTGTATCTTTCTTTTTAACTCAATACATTTATAACTTCACTCGTGAAATAAAATTAACTAACAAATAATTATTTTCTTTACATTTTGGACATTCATCTTGTTTTATTGATGAAGTTCACTATTTACCAAACTATCTTTGTTTTAATAAAGAAAACTGAAACAAATACTTCACGAAAAGTTATCTCGAATTTGAACAATCTTGTTGTACTAACAAAGATATCTGAGTAGGCTCATATATTATCTGGATAGACGTTGACAATGTCTATAATATACAAATAGAATTTACAAAATTGCTTATCAGCTCATCGAACTTATTCGATCTATTTTTTTTTGAGATACATATAAATAGAAAACTTTTCATCAAAAAAAAAAAGATTTTTGGTATCTACTGAAGTGTTATTATAAACAATGGTGTTAGTGTAGGTGTGAATTTCGAACGATTCTAACAAGAAGACCTACACCATTTCGCACCAGAGATGTCCACAGGGCGGTATTTTAATGTCCTGCCCTGACAAAAAGAATAATAAATTAGAAAATTCACGCCCTGCCCTGTCTCGTCCTGATGGGTAGGGCAGGGCAGATGCCCTGGAGAGCATTGACAATATTTCAATTCGATATTTTTGAGTAATTATGGGTGATCAAAGTAAATGTTGCTTATATTGATGCTGAAACAGTTGTTTTATTGTTTAACAATGGATCTATAATAACCATATGGGAATTATTTTCACGAAGTAATTGATGAGCATGGTTTGACTAAGGTAGAGAAAGAGGATTCAATAGGCAAAATTCCTGCTGATGAAGCCAAAAAGTTATTCAAACTCGTTTCTGTCATTATGAGCTGCTGGATAGCAGAATAATCGCTACCAGAATGCCAAAGGTTTTGTTCATTCATGCTTTAAAATGCGAAACTTATTGTTTTCTTTTAATAAAAGTAGCTATAATTGATCTGATGCATCCGCGTAGTAGTGCAGTAGGCACACTCGAGGAAGAAGAAATCGAAGTTATGTTTCCATCATCAGCCGTTGGAGAACGAATATCAAATCATAAATCGTCAACAGTCGAATTCATCGTTTTATTTGCTTTGAGTAATTATAGTAAATAGCAAAAAAATAACAGACAGGTACAGATTCATGCATATCCATTGTCGTAATTTTCGTCCTTTCTATTTCTTTTCGACTCAGAACGAACAATTGGACACAAGATCCGACAAGATTCTGCGTCTGATTATATATGATCTTGTACGATTTGGTATGAATCGTACAAAAAATCGCAGTCTCTGAAATCCTACATCAATTATTATTATAAGATTCTTGACAGATCTTATTGTCTTGCCAGATCATACTGTAAGATTATACAAAAACTTATGCGATGGTAGGATCTAACAAGAATCTTACAGTAAGAATTGATGTAAGGTTTCAGAGACTACGTTTTTTTGTACGATTTCATATGATCATGCAAGACTTACTGTCAGATTTTTTGATCTGGGGATAATTGATCTGGCATATGTATTCCTCGCATCAATGAGATAGAGCGAACAGCCTAATGATAATGATATCACTCTTCTTTTCTTTGTGACGATTTATTTTGACAACAAAATGTAAACTTTTAAGGGAAAATTTTTTTCGAAATATGGAGGGCATGACAATCTCGTCCTGCCCTGCTTCAGGGCGAGGCAGGAAGCAGGACAGGACAGGTTGCCTTGTCCTGTGGACATCTCTGTTTTGCATCAACACCCTCTTTTGAATCATGTCATTTTTATCAGCTTTCTACGAGATGAAGAATTTCGAACCGGTTTATAGGAGATACATCGATCGTTCTCTTCCAGTACGTAAGCGACATGATTATTTCTATAGATCTATTTCCTGATAACTATCAAACCATAACAAGGATAGTTATAGGATGTCTCTTTATTTACACTCACACCCAAAATGTTTGGACTTTCCAATGATGTAAAAATTTTCGAAATTGAACTTATTAGAGTCTTTAAAAATTAGCTTTTACATGATGTAGCTAAGGATGGCTAGAATAATTGATTTACTCCAATAACACTAGCGCAATGATTGATTTATTCCACGTGGGGTAAATAAATTATTTGATAGAAGCCATTTGAAAAACCAGGGTACATCCATCTCTGGAATGTATTTTGGAAAAATAAAAGCATAGTTTTGTAGAGTAGGGTTTCAGCTATAAGGTTGGTAACGAAAATTTTTTTATCCGATGAAAAATGGAAAAATTATAAGGCAATAAAAAGACAAACTACCAAAAACATAATTGATTTACTCCATCGTACTCTAAACCTCTTTCATTACTTATAAGAACGGGCAAACTAGAGAAATATTGCTATCGCCATCACCTCGATACAAAGAAGAATAAGAATAATGAAAAGAACAAGAAGAAAAGCGGACATCACATTTCTAAGCGGGCAAAAGGTCAGGCAATATGTTCGACGGGAATGTTTTCAGTATACGCCAAATGTTGTATACTATTTTTTTTCTTTTATACCATATCATTCATTGTTCATCATTATAACTAAACTTTCTTCCGTAAGTAACGAATACTGTCTTATTCCAATAATGATTACAAAATTTGAACAATTACCAAATGAATTAATATTAACTTGTTTTTCATATTTCAATTTCTATGAATTATATGAGATATTTTCTAATTTAAATCAACGTTTTAATCAACTAATTCAATATGAATCAAAACTATACATTAACTTAGATTCAATACCAAATACAAAATTTTTAACTTTTTGTTTGAACTTAAATCAATTCATAGCAACAAATCGAAACTATCCAGTATCGGTCATAGCTCATGATAAATACAAACTTAATTTTATATTTTACGATGATTTATTCAAAGATAAATTTTCTAAATTAAAATCTTTAACATTATCAAATATAACAGTTGAAACTATATATTCTATAATATTTGAAACAACCGCAAAGTTATATGAAAGTTTAAGACGGTTAAAGTTACTAGACGGCATCAGTTCAGAAAAGAAAAGAGACGATAATAATATACAAAGTAAGAATAAGAATTTAAGTTTGATTGATTGTATATACACAACTCGAAGTTTTATATGTTTAGAATTATGTAATAATTTAATATCATCAAAAATGAAATCATTAATATATTTGCATTTAAATTTTGAATCATTTCGGTGTGAATGTCAAAATAGTAGGTCCTCATATACAGATGATATTTATTTAGACTTTAAGGAATTATCACAAAGAGAAAAATCGTTAAGTCATCTAGAAACTCTTATTATTGGAAGTAAGCTATTTAATTCTACACATATCTATAACTTATATACATAGAAATCTGTGATGATGATAATTACATTATATCAATACCAATATTATGCTTTCATTCATTAATAACAGATTTATTACCATGTCTACTGAAATTAAAAAATTTATTTATAAATTCGATCCATTTTATGAACTATGATAATCTCCGACAAAACTCAGTACGCGAAAATAACTATTAGACTGTTTTCTTAATGACATTTGTTTTGTAATAGGCATTATCAACTACAACAACAAATTTTATTTTACCATTAAATTTAAAATCGATTAAAATCTGGATCGATAATCTTGATGACGATGATGAAGAAGGAAATAAAAATTTAACACGAAATTTCTTTATAAATAACAACTTATGTAAGACAGCAATAATTAAAATATTCAATATTGAGTATGAAGATGAGTTTTAGAACTTCATATGTTTATCATTTTGTATTTCATCTTTCTATTAGAATGAAAGAAAAAAACATAAAAATACTTTTTTGTTGATATTATCGAACAAAGAAAAAAAAGAAAATATAAAAGCGAATTATCAAAATGAAACAAAAGAGTTCAACTTAGTAACAGACGAATGTTTATAGTCAACAATCAAAGTGAGAATAGGAGTTTACTTTTAATCGCCATATTTAGTTTTCGTTCTTCAGAAAATGATCGTTTGACAATTTCGCTTCTCGATATAAAACGGATATAAGAAGAGAGATGAATAAATATTGAGCAGAACAATCGAAACGTTCATGTCTCATCAAATGACATTGTATTCATTTTTTCCAATTCACTGTGAGGCTGAAGGTTGAGTTGATTGTCATCAAACATGATCGGCACATACTCAGTTAATTATTGATACTTTTTTTTACTAATTGTCTCATTTTGCGTGGAATTTCTTTTGATCAATCTACACACTGTCATATAAACAATCTTCTTTTTCTTCATCTATTTTCTCATTGCATTTCAAGAGATTGTTGTTGATGGAGGTGGGTGTGGCTGGGTGTGGGTGTGCATGTGGGCTGTGGGTACGTGGAGTGAGGGATGTGGATGTAGGTGCAGGTGTGGGTGCGGGATGTGAAAAAAGAGAGGAAATACACCCACACCCACACCCTTGATCACCATCTTCGAAGAGATGAATATCATTGATAATACTTTGAATATCTGTTATTAAATTATGATAATGATTGTCTCTTTCAATAATTATTGAATTAAGCCAGATGAGAAGAACATTAGATTCTACTACTGTATTTTTATTATCAGATGAGCCTGTTGTGATTTTGTTCATAATGTGTGTTGATACGTTTGTCATTAAATATGAAGAGACTGAATGAGCTGTAGCAATAATTAAAAAGAGGAAGTTACTCAAAACAGTTATTATGTTTTCTCAAGGACAATGATATGTTCTGTTTTCATAAAACGAACTAATTATTTCTTAAGAGCGTAGATATTTTTTCGCTCCTAACGTTCATCACGGAGATATCGATGCACATCACTTTCCCAATTAACAAACATTTTATTTCTTGCTTTCTGTTACAGCGGAGATATTCTTCGTTTGAAAAAAAAGCACAACTCTCTCACTCTTAATCTCAAAATGTGGTTAATCTTTGACAAGATTTTCTTCGTTCAGGTCGATGACATGCAAAATTTAAAGCTGTGGAATGCCAGTGACTTTGAAGGGTACTAATTGTGGATATTGTCCTGTTAACCAAGAAAAGTAAAACATTTCATCACCAATTAAAATTGGACATTTCGGTGTGATGCCTTTATCATTTCCCAGATTTAAATCAATGCGTTTGATTATCTTTCCAAGATCCATGTGAACAGCAGTGATGAAATACAAGATATCTGATTTGTGTGAATATGATGAACCAGATAATATATAAACAATCCGTCGTTTCGAATTCATTGTAATACAAAAGGCAGCTAATTCGAATTTTTTCATTTCACTTGATGTTGCCAATTCACTTGTCCATAATGTTTTTCCTCGATTGTCGATAGCAAATGCCAGCGGCATACTGGATATATAAACCGTACCATTCTCGTCTATAGTAGGTGGTGTTATATCGGCATTGCCAGCAATTGCGGGAGGTGCAGGCCAATTCCAACGTAATTTTATCTGTTGTGTTGATACATCATGTGATGAAACAAGAAATTTCGACGGTGAACTAGTCATGTTTTGCCATGGTCTCACAATAATTTGCTGTTGTCTATCTAGAACAAAATCTCGACCAAATCCGTCTAACTGTGTAACATTATTAATTAGATTCTCTCCTTTTTGATCAAATTTCAATAGATGATCATCACCACCTATCCAAAATATGTTACCCATATTTAAATCCCATCTATAATCTCCATGTATTCCAGCACCGAAGAAATGTCTATTCACCCATAACAAATCCAGAGTTGTTTTGTTTAAAACAGCTGGCACCAATTCAGTTTCATTACCTTTGACAGATGTAATTAGAAGATCATATTTTTCATTAAGAGCTAGTAGTGTTTTGATGTATACAAACAATTGAAAATTTTCGACACATTTTTGAAGAGGATGTGATGTTTGAACATTTGTCACACGGCAAATTTTCGCTGTAATCCTTGTATCACCTGCCCATGAGATAGTATAAAAGAGATGTCCTTGACGATCAGAAATAACATTGGAAATACCAATTGATTCCATGTCCGGTTCAGATTCAAGAGGAAGTTTCCAACGAACAATTCCATTTGTAGTTAGACACATCATAAAATCAGCTAAATGAAGAAATTGTTTTATCGAATTCGATTTATATTTGAAAATGTCAAATGTCTATCAGAAAGAAGAAACACTTGCCTAAATGAGATCTTGTTTCACTCAGAAAAAAATAAAGATCACCGTTGACCCCAGCACCTTGACCAAACTGAGTAGTGTCTTGCGATGTTAAATTATATTCAAAAATCCATGGCATTTTCGAATAATTCGTAGCCATGGATGGGACAATACGATGTGTATTTTGAGAATTACCCTCTTCATTAGACCATTGTGATTCAGGATCATTATCATTAGTCATACCATCAACAATCGTAGATTGCTGCAGAATAACAAAAATTAACCATATAAATATATAATAAATCATATATCTCTCTCTATTAAGAATAAAACTAAACCGATAAAAGACCATTTTCTCTTTTATATTTTGAAACGAGTCCCATCTGTTAATTCCCATATGATCCATTATTTCTTTTTGTCTGCACTTGTTTATCATATGTTAAGAATCTATTATCCATTTCAAATTAAAAGAGAGGGTCACTATTGGTCGAATATCTCGACAATGATAAAAGCAAGAGACTTATGGTTTCTTTCATTCGATAGCTCTATATGGGACAAGTAAATTATGTGCAACGGGCAAAAATTTTCGAACTTGTTTTTGAGGGTTTTGAGAGCTTTTTTTGAAAAAATTCGAAGTATCAGGGTATTAGAGAACGCCATTTTGGCATCCAATTATTGCAAACGGTAGACTAGATTGTCCTCTTCATTCTAAAAAAATCGCAGCTGTCTACACTGCACCACTAAAAACTGCAAATCATACTTCTGGAAACTTGAAAAATGGCATTTTCAGCTATTTTGATATCTTTTTCCCATTTTATCTAAGACTAGTCGATCAACTAAATCCATATTTAGAATCAACATGCAAAACTGCATCGTCTGAGGCGTATGTCAGTTTCATCTAGAAATTATAATTTTTCTCACTACATGGCTACATCAGCCTGTGAATCAGGAGGTACCATATGGCAAAAAATTAAAGTTTCTAGATGAAAGTGACATACGCCTCAGACGATGCAGTTTTGCATGTTGATTCCAAATATGGATTTCGTTGATCGACTAGTCCTAGATAAAATGGGAAAAAGATATCAAAATAGCTGAAAATACCATTTTTCGAGCTTCCAGAAGTATGGTTCGCGGTTTTTAGCGGTGCATTGTAGACAGCTGCGATTTTGTTTTAAATGAAGAGGATAGTCTTGCCTACCGTTTGCAACAATTGGATGCCAAAATGGAGTTGGGATGTGAGTGTGGAGTGTGGGGGTTGTTTGAATTAAAGGTTCCATCCACACCCACACCCACACCCACCCACACCAACACCCACACCTGCCACCCACACCCACACACACCCACACCAACACCACACCCACACCCACACATCCACGCCCACACATCCACACCCACACCCATCTATAGGTGCCATTGGGCAAGAAAGGGTTAATATGATCTTGAGTATTTTAAGTAGAGATAGCAACTTGAACAGTAATATATTAAAATGTATAGTTAGGTTTTCTTCTACAAACTATATTATCGATTAAAATCTCAGTTTAAGAATGTAACTTTACTGTAACATCGTTCTCGTGAGATTATAGAACACAATGACAACTTCCAATAGATGATATCTGAGGTCGAAATACTTGGCTTCGGAAGATTGAGCTCATCTAAAAACTGATATTTTCTTGAAACATCTCCTACGAAGATAATTCTCTTTAAACATTAGAAAGTTTGACATGCCTTAAATTTTGAGTAAATATCAAGGGGAAAAAGCGAGACTCACTCTACTCCAAAAAAAGAATTGGGGTACAGCTGGAGTACAAAAGAAGTGCGCACTCGAGGAGTCTCGCTTTTTCCCCCTTGACCCATTTCCTTTGTCGGGGACTTGGGTATACCCCTCCGAGAAAATTACATATCCATACTCAGTTTTTCGAGCTCTTTCGAATGATGTATTTTTTATCAATTCTGCATGAAAATTTTTTCAACCAGTTGATATGCCATATATTTTAATATAAAATTTTATTTGTGTTTTTCCTCGACTTCAAACTTTTTGCTTGAACAAATGAAAGAGTATAAGAAGAATAGTCTTTAAATCATTCGAAATGTCATTCTATTGAGAACTTATAACAGTTGATAGAATTTGAAATCTGAGTTTACAACATATCAGTCGCAACTATTTTGGAAAAAAATCAGCCAGATGAAATTCAACAATCTTTAGAGTCAACTATTCGGACTTCATCGAAATAAAAAATGCAAGCAAATAAATGTTGATCAATATGATGTTCGATGATATTTTCGTCTATATCTGATAGCTCTACTCATTTGAAAATATTCAGCAGAGCTTTATTTATTTTCATATTTCAAATATTTACTCAAATGAAAGTTTGGCTCTGGTGGATTATACTACTTTAAAGGCTGGTTTATCAATATTGTTATGAAACTATTTATTCACACTTATAGATCCACAAGTATTAAAAGAAAAAGATAATACCATATGATACATAAATAGATAGACCTCAAATACGATTTTTCAACAATGTAATAAATTTTTATGCACCACATTTAAAAATTCAAGCTAAACGACGTTTAGTTCAGTTTGAGAGATTATTGTCATTTATATTGAAGCTTGCCGTTGTCCATTGGCAACACCATTAGTGGAGAAAATTCAAATTTTTCATTTGATTTTTTGTATGCGCACAAACTTTCTTAGCTGATGATGTTGTGAATGAACAACGACACATTTTAATATAAATGATTATAGCGCATCAATTATTGTCTTATTTCAAGTTAAACCTAATCTACCTATAAAATTTTTTATGGTGTTCAATATATAAACTATATTTTTGTACATCGAGAATAAGCACGGAGAATAGTAGAAAAATCAACGTGTAAAAAAAATTCAGTGTGCACAGCGTACACGCTACTTTTATCACCAGCGTCTAAAATAGTGTATATATATTTTTTCTTTAGGATACTGTATCTGTTGTTTTCTTCGGTATACTCATTCATTACAAATACTGCATATGATAAAGGTGACGTTAATGTGCAACGATGCAAAACGGAAGTTATTTCTTCCTCTGTAACTTGTTGGAAAAATCCTTTTTTTTTATTTAAATAAATATCATAACAATATAGATCAATCATAATTGAGTAAGAAAAAAATGGATGTGAAAGGATACAAATTGTTACCGACTCATATTGGTCGTTTAACAAAGAGTATATTCGATGAATATTCAATATATATATTTAATATTCCATCAAATATAATTGATAAGTATCTTCCAAATAAACTTGATGCTTTTGCTTCATTAACATTGATCAATTTGGCTAAACATTATTTTTTTTATTCAAAACCAGTTATATTTGCTTCTCGATCACAAATAAATAAAAATGTTCAATCAATATCAAATACAATATCACTTGAAGATTTTCTAGAAGAATTATTATCAAAAAAAGATTTGGAATTACGTTATAATTTTGTAATAACTGGGAATTTATTAGTATTTGCTCAGATACCTCGTGTTCGTCATATATCATATCATCTTCTTTGTAAACATATAACTCTATCGAATCGATCAACAAATGTTAAATTTGCTGGAGAATTTTGGATTGATCAACATGATTATTTTAAATTAAATAATAATTCAGGTACATATCAACCATCGGATACATTAATTGAACAAGTTGTGCAATTTTTTAATTATATATTACCTCATTTTCAATTTCAAGGTAGAAGTTTTCGTATAAGTGCTCGACCTTCCACTACACATCGAGTTATCATTAAAACCAAACAAAAATTACATATAAAAACATAGTCAACATGTTAATTAGATTTCAACTTAATTGATATTTATATTGATGATTTTCAATTTAATTCTTTTTTCCTTAACCAAGAATAAATCGTTTTTTTTTTAAACAATTAATTTAAACCATTTATTCTTATTTGAAACATCATATCAAAATTATTTTATGTCTACTGTATTGATCTTAATAGAAACAGTAACATTTGATAATTTTCTTCTTCATACTTTTGTAGAAATCATTTTATACATTTTATAATCAAAGCGCAAGAGATTAGACTAATGAGGGAATTTCCTCAGGTATTACCCTCCGATTTTGATGAATTTTGGTCTATAGACACTACATAGTGCCTTAATCCTTCGTGGTTGTTCGGGTTTTTGTACTTCGTAGCTGTCCTGGGGTCCGCCTGGACCCACCTATAGAAAATTACAAAAAAACGATTTTTTCCTTTCTTGAAGGGTTTCATTTGACTTATATGAAGAGGTAGAGATCTTTCTTTATAAAAACTAATGAGTCAGCCTCTCGTGAAAACAATGTAAAGATGTATGATATCGCAAAAAATTACTTTCTCTAATCGTTTTTGTAGCAACATTGATAATAGCTGGGAAAAGCATAGAATGTATCAATCTAGTCTAGATGATAGGATTCTACGCGTACATTGTTATATATATAATCAGTTGTACAATTGAGAGAGCAAGAAACTTTTCTTTTTGAACTATAGTTACTTTTATCTTTCTCTTTATTATTAGAAAAAGCAATAAAAACTCAGTTTTTTTTTATCAAACTGATGATGTTGTTTGTATATAAATATTATGAACCATCAATATAAATAATGAACATATAAGCCAACCAAAGTAACTCATTTAAAAAAAATTGTGAATCAACAGATGGCAGCTTTATCAAGACGAAAAATATGCTGGTAACAGCATAGTTATCGTAGGGTCCATCCGAACCCACAGCTGCATTTTTCATCTGCTAGGCTGATCGTTGATTTCTAATAAGGATGTTGTAGGCCAACATAGGACTAGAGATTAGGTAAGGGGACTGGCCCGAAACAGAAGCTCTTGACGTAGTATTAAATAAAAAACTGTGAAATGGGTCCGCGAGGACCCCACGACAACCACGAAGGGTTAATAAAAACCCTAAAAGGATTTGGATTCCTAAAGCTTTCTTCAATAGTTATGAGTACTTTAATTTTGCTACTTGTATGACATATATAATACGCTATTTAAGAGAGGGTTCGTCATAGCATGAATCATACCAGTAGTAACTAAATATCTTTTTTTTGTCTTTAATAATATATCAAGTTGTTTTTAAGTATTGATGAAAAATACTAAGGATCACAATTAACAAATTTTTGTGGTTAGATCATAAAAATTTTAAAGAAAAGAATTTCCCGTTCTTTGATGGTTCTGTTCAGAACTGTCCTGTATTTGATTGGCCTTTTCAGACAGAAAAGATCTTACGAGATACAGGATTTCAAGAGCTTACAGAAACTCAATTGACTTTTTTGTACTGATGTAACTCCCCGCGATTCAAAGCAAATTACGAGCAAAAGTTCGACGATCAAACACAGGCTTCTTCTTTTGTAGAAGCTCATTTACTTACTAAAACTTATTGTCATGAATAGTTATATAGTACATTTTCTACGAAATTCTTTTCTGTATCTTTTAAAGTCTCTCCTGACTAGTGGTCTGCGTGATCGTCGATTTCACGATCACGGTCACGAACACGCGTGATCGTGCGTGATTAGAAACTTTTTTCTCGTCGTGATCGTGATCATGCGTTATTGGAAATTTTTTTCGTGATCGTGATTGTGACCGTGATCGAAACTAAAATTTCGTAACCCTAACTTTGGCATACCCACGAAATAAATTTTGTTGAAAAAACGCGGTCGACCGCGGTAAAGACAACCGCGGTTTCTAGCGGTGTTAGAGGGTGTGGTAGTCAGACCATTTATTCGTCTCGTCAAAACCGTCGAAAACCGCGGTTTTAACTAAACGCGGTAGGACGCCGTTAGAGAAAACCGAGGTTTTCGACGGTTTTGACGAGACGAATAAATGGTCTGACTACCGCGGTCCTCTAACACCGCTAGACACCGCGGTTGTCTTTACCGCGGTCGACCGCGTTTTTTCAACAAAATTTTTTTCATGGTACTACTTATTTATCTATCTACTTATCCATCGATCTATCTAGCTACCTATCTAACTATCTATCTCCTTATCTATCTATCGGCCTATCTAACTATCTATCTGCCTATCTACCTATCTATCTATCTATCTATCTACTTATCTATGTATCTATCTACTTATCTATGTATCTATCTACCTATCTAATTAGATTCTGTCATGACTTTGATCATAAAAGCTCAATACAAACAAATATTTATCTGGAGATGCTTCTCGAAATGAAGCAGATATTGATTTATAAGAGAATTTATTACTTTTCTTTGCAATAAATAAAAAATGGTTTTTGACGTGTTTTGGTTCGTTCCGCAACATCGATAGATATCATAAAATCATCCAAATAATTGAAATCATGAAGACAACTAATGAGAAAAATATCGAAGCCATAGCCAACGTACTAAACAACACTTCAAGTACAATGGCAGAAAAAGAGGGTAGAGAAGCATTGTAAAATTTAAACATATTAAAAACAAATACATATGCAGCAACACCAATAGGCGGTATAGGTAAAAAATATCTTAAACGAGAAGAAATAAACAAGCGTGCAAAATAAAGTGTAATTCCTGCAACTGCGATCAAAGCTCCTGCCAAGGCGATTGAGAGCGTGTTGATTTTCAAAATTTCCTCGTCCATGTTGATTTTCGTCTTGTGATGTTTAGCGTGTCTTTCTTCTTCGTCTTTTTCGGGCTCGTCGTCGTGATTTATAAGGTGTTGTTGAGCAAGAGAGAGTTGAGCAGATTGAGAATAGATTGATGTATGCAATCGTTGTTGGTCCTCTAGTGATCCATGGTTATTGATAGTGACTTCATATTCGATTGTATTTGATTGCATTGAAGAGATGACGAAGAGCTAGTGTGCTAAAGAGTGTGCATATGTAATGTTGACGTTACACGATGAGAGAACGAAAAAAACTGTGATGTGTACCCGTTTCAGAGAGAGACATCGTATGCGCGGGGGTAGACAAGTGTGCACTCTAAGTTAAAATGTGTCGCATGTGTCGTAATTCACAACACATTGCACGGCACGAGGTGCTCGTTGCGGCACGTATTTTCACGACACATCGGACACATTCTGAAATCATGGTTTCAGCCTACATTTCACGGTTTTCGTAATTTTTTTTCTTTCATGCAATCTAGTCATCAACATTTGATTAGTGGAATTAATTTTAGTCCTCGATGTATCACCATAACACACTCAGATCTCGAGATTCAAGTGTTTACGCCTTGGCCGATCTTGGTCAGGCTACTCTCAGATAGATCTTTCCAAGCGATTCAATTTTTCTCAAAATATTTACAAAAAATAAACAATCGAGAAATATTTTCAATACAATTAGGCTCACGGAAACTTATGATTCTCATATGGAATATCAGATCGACTATATATAGATGTATACGTGGGACAAAGTCGTGAATGAACAGTCGTTATGTGTATATATATACAAATCTTAAAGGATATAAAGGAGTATATGTAACTATACAACACTGACTTTTTAATTCCATTGACTTTTGATGACTTCAATATCATTCAGAAAAATAAATGACATGCTTCGTTCGAGAATCGAACCCATGATCTGATAACTGGTTATTCGGATCAGTGCTCTAACCATTGAGCTATCGAAACACGACTAACACATAATTTATTTTACTGAATGATATTAAATCATCGAAATTTTAACGTCGACACGATGTGTACGATGCACCTGGATATAGAGAAGCTATTTACTACCAAGTGAAAATGATGGTGGATTTTATTCTCCTCTTATCAGAAGGTAAATATATAAATCCTAAAGAATAGAAACCAGTAAATGTAACTATACAATACAGACTTTTTACTTCCTTTGACTTTCGATGATTTAATATCATTTCGAAAAATAAATTATGTGTTAGTCGTGTTTCGATAGCTCAATGGTTACAGTACTGATCCGGATAACTAGTTTTCAGTTCATACACACTAAATAAAAATGTGTCGCATGTGTCGTGATTTGCGACACATTGTACGACACATTGCAGTACGACACAAGGAGCGCACTGCGACACATTTTCTCCAGCGAGACTGCAACACATTTTGTACGACACATGCGACACATTTTCTGTTGGTTCTTTTCGAAAAGCATAATTATTTCAATTTTTTTCTGTTCAATATAATTCCGTTGAATTATTTCTATGGTGAAAACTCTAGCAGGTTAGTTCCTGAGATCTGTCCTGCTTCGAGTTGATCTGATTTGCATCAGAAGACTCCAATGTAGTCCTTTCTCGATGATGAATCGAGATTGGCATTTTCTCGACAAAGACTATCGAGAAATAATTTAGAAAAAAAAGAATATTTTGAAAATTCATCTTTCTTACGTTCAACCACGTTGTTTATATATCGTCATGTCTGCATAATAAAAGGGTGAACGACTAGTTAGCAGACAGAACGCGAAAAATTTGTATGCGACACATTCTGTGCACGACACATTTTTCTGCTGGAGTGCACGACACAATAATTGACGACACATAAACACGACGCATTTTATTTTAGTGTGTAGGTTCGATTCTCGAACGAAGTATGTCATTTATTTTTCTCAGTGATATTGAAGTCATCGAAAGTTAATGTAAGTAAAAAGTCTGTATTGTATAGTTACATTTACTGGTTTCTATTCTTTAGGATTTATATATTTACCTTCTGATAAGAGGAGAATAAAATCCACCATCATTTTTACTTGGTAGTAAATAGCTTCTCTATGTCCAGGTGCATCGTACACATCGTGTTGACGTTAGAATTTCGATGATTTAATATCATTCAGTAAAATAAATTATGTGTTAGTCGTGTTTCGATAGCTCAATGGT